TCGCACCCCCCCGGGGCGCAGCCCCCCAAAAACCCCGCGGGGACCCCTCGTCCCTCAAAGCCCCCCCAAAACCCCTCCCGTGCCCCCCCCCCAGGTGCCCCCCCGGCTCTGGGGGGGGCGATGGAGACCAACGTGAGCGACGAGAGCGGCCACTTCCAGTCGTACCCCTTCGACTTCCTGGACTTCCTGACCCACCAGCGCCCGGAGCCGCCGGAGCCCTTCGAGCCCCCCAAGGCGCTGCCCCTCCCCCCGCCCCCCTTCGAGTACCCCCCCCCTCCCGGGGCCCCCCCCTTCGACCGCCCCCCCCCGCCCAAGCACAAGCCCGAGGCTGCTGCTTCTTCCTCGTCCTCCTCCTCCTCGTCCTCCTCGTCCTCCTCCTTGACCTCCTCGTCCTCGGCGCAGCCCAAGAAGCCGGAGGGCCCTTTGGGGGGTCCCGCGGGGGCCCCCCCGTACCCGCCCCCGCCCCTGCCCCCCCCGCCCCACCAGCCCCTCTTCGAGGCCGCCGGCGCCTTCCCCGCCCCGCAATGGGGCATCGTGGACCTGTCGGGGCACCAGCACCTCTTCGGGGGGCTCAAACGGGGCGGGGCCGGCGCGGGGGCCACGCCCGGGACCCCCCCGGCGCCGCCCGAGTCGGGGTCGAAGGAGGAGCGGAGCTACTTCCGGCGGCTCAAGTACCTGGTGGAGCGGCGCTTCCCCTGCGCCGCCTGCCCCAAGGCCTTCCGCCAGGCGGCCCAGCTGGTGCAGCACGTGCAGGCCCACGGCGCCGAGCGGCCCTACGAGTGCCGCACCTGCGGCCGCACCTACAGCCACGGCTCCAGCCTCGTGCGGCACCGGCGCTGCCACCGCGACGCCCCCGACGACGCCGGCGCGGCCGCCGCATCCGCCACGGCCGCCGCCACGTCCAGGGCGGTGCCGGTGCCTAGCGGGGCCCCCGCGGTCTTGGCGTTGGCCAACGGGGTCAACGTGAGCCCCGGCGGGGTCAACGCGGTAGCCAACGGAGTCAACGCGGCGCCCAACGGGGTCAACCCCTTGGCCGGCGGGGTCGGCGCCGTGCCCAACGTCAACGCGGCGCCCAACGGGGTCAACGCGGCGCCCAACGGAGTCAACGGGGTCAACGTGGCGGCGAGCGGGGTCAACGCGGTGCCCAACAGGGTCAACGCCGTGCGCGGCGTCAACGTGGCTCCCAATGGGGTCAACCCGGCGGCCGGCGGGGTCAACGCGGTGCCCAACGGAGTCAACCCCTTGGCCGGCGGGGTCGGCGCCGTGCCCAACGTCAGCGCGGCGCCCAACGGAGTCAACGGGGTCAACGTGGCGGCGAGCGGGGTCAACGCGGTGCCCAACAGGGTCAACGCCGTGCGCGGCGTCAACGTGGCTCCCAATGGGGTCAACCCGGCGGCCGGCGGGGTCAACGCGGTGCCCAACAGGGTCAACGCCGTGCGCGGCGTCAACGTG